GTGAAACGGTGGGACTAGACTGGAAGCAACTACATCTGACATGGCAACTTTCAGTCTTTTTAAAAAATTGAGTTTTTAATAATTCCCAAAATCAGTATATTACATTGGGTTATCCAAAAAGTTTGTTTGGATTTTTCTATGTAAGAGCTTATGGGAAAACCCAAATGAACTTTTTGGCCAACTCGATATATAAACTTTCTTAATAAACAAAGTAAAAAATACAAGCTTCTTGCTCCTTGTTCCCCTCTCCTCCACATGTTTACTGATAAGAGTAATAATCAATATAAATACCATATTTTCACCAAACTGAAAGCTGCTCCATAAGCAATGAAGGACCCCAAAGTTGATCTGTAACCCATCTTGGTGATAGAAGAACCACAGGGGTTGAGAAAACTCAAGGCACTGGTACTTTAGTGCTGATTAGGTTTATTTACACCATTATATATAGATTTCAAGTTCTGACTACTTCCTAGACCTTCTTAGAGTCATTGGATTTTAAGAAATTTTCTGGACCATTTTTCACCATTGTGGGAGAGAGGAAAAAGTTAATAAAAATGACAAACTAGTGTAGAAAAGGAGATGAATGGTGGGTTGTTGTTGTTTAGTCACTAAGTTGTATCCGACTCTTTCGCGACCCCATGGACTGCAGCCCATCTGGCTCCTCTGTCCATGAGATTTCCCAGGCAAGAATATTGGAGTGGGTTGCCATTCTCTTCTCCAGGGGATCTTCCCAACCCAGAGACAGAATCCGGGTTTCCTGCATTGGCAGGTGTATTCTTTACCACTGAGTCACCTGAGAAGCCTGAGTAGTGGGTAGTTAGTACAAACTGCAAGCGCTCTGATCATCCTCAGGTAGATAAACAGAAGGGCCTGATGAAAAGAGAATAGCCAGGTGCCCAGGTACAAAGGTGGCGCCCATAAGTTAGGTGCTTGGCAATGAGAAGTCAATTATGAATTTTCCTGGTTTTTGTCTTACCAGACATTAGTAAAAACAACTCTCTTGGTTATTTTTTCCAAAAGTATTAGCCAAGCTATTTACCTGCTACCTATTAAAACAGGGTGTGTTCCATTTAGTTCTTTTTATAGAGGGGAGGTGTCTTTCTTATTTATTTTTGACTTAGGAAGCTTTTATTGCCAGAGGGAAAAAAGCTGTGCCTGTAAAAGAAAATCTCCACTGTAAATTGTAATGATCGTCACTGTCTGTTGAAGGATATATCAGACTGAAATAAAGTTGTAAAAACTTGAAGCTCAGTGCAAAAGAAAATGCCCCAAATCAATTCTTCATCCACAACCAAGAGAAACGCCTAAATGTTTCAAAATTACAGTGCTGAAAGTATTTCGTGTAGAATATTCATCTTAGGAAGAGCCTGTGAAAGGGGATTTTTGTTCTCTTTGATTGAGTCAGTCTCACTAATAATAATGCTTTGGTCCCTCAAAAAGCCCCCTGAAAAGTATTTTTCAATTTACTCATTTGATTTGTTATTCAGTACTTTTTACATTTCTTAACCTTTTTTCCTTCAACTTTTCTCTCACAGCAGTATAATCAAATTGAAATAACCCTAAGGACAAACTTACTTCTCTTTTTTTAATTTGTTGATTTCCCCAGTCCCAATTCCTGTTTCTCCAGCCCAAATCCCTAAAAGAAACTGATGAAGGGAAAAAAATAAGGAAGGCTTTGGGATGTCTTTCTACCCCTTAGAGCACAAAGTAATCACCATAGTCACAGATCAAGAAAGGACAGTTCAAGGTACTCCAGGCCTCTCCCAGCAGCAACCCTTGCCCAGAAGTTTGAGCAATTTATACTGATTCATTTGGACTTACTAGAAATTGGCCTCTTTCTTCTTTTTTTAACTACATAATTCTTGACATTCAACTTCTTACAGAAACCATGGAGCAAAAAATTCTCGAGAAAGTTTTTTCTCTTCTCTATAAATTATTAGATTATCAAGTACAATAAAAAATGAGTTTGCAGAGAACAACACTCTGAATACGTGAATCAGTGAAAGCACCCCCTTATTGGGGGTGGGGGGCAGAGGAGGAGCAGAAAATCTGTGGGTTTGCCCCTGAAGTGTCCTGAAAGTATATAATCATAGTAACACACATTTAAAATATTTTATTTATGAAAATGTGCCCTAATGTATTTCCTTGTTTATTCAATTGCTTTTTCCTGCTTACATTCATTGCAAGTATAGTTTTTTTCTTTTTTGTGTTTCTACTCTGGTGGGGGGCATTTTTATCTCACTGTTTTAATCCAGGCATCTCAAAACAGGACCTAGTCTTAAAGACTGGATTCCTGAAATATCCCACCTGTTTAAAGTGGTACCACCTGTTTAAAGTGCCCCCCCGCCAAATGTTCCCCTTTGCCAAAGCCTCCCCTTCTGTTTCCTTCAGTCATCAATCAGCCTTTAGGACATGGCTCACTGCCTTAGAGAGGATGCTTAAATATTGCTGTCACTTTTATTCCTGATGGCCATCTTCTGAGGCAGTCACTGTTACTACCCCATTTTGTAGATGGGGATAGTGAGGCTGAGGGGAGTTGCACAGTCACCAGTCTGTGGGGGGTGTGGCAGAGCTTGGATCCCAAGCTAGCTTCTGCACATTTTCAGGTTCACATTATAAGATACGACACCGCCTCCTTTCCTTTAAAAGGACCTCATTTGCTGGCAGCTTTGTAAAAGACCTTGACTCAGGGCTGGCTTCCAGCAGACACCTGACTCCAAAGAAGCTGGGTTCCCAGAACTGGCCCAAGTGGGCTTCCCTGGTGGCTAAAGAATCGGCTTCCAATGCAGGAGACCTGGGTTCAATTCCTGGGTCAGGAAGGTTCCTTGGAGAAGGGAATGGCAGCTCACTTCAGTATTCTTGCCTAGTGAATCCCACAGTTAGAGGAGCCTGGCAGGCTACAGTCCACGGGGTCACAAAGAGTCAGACACAACTGAGCAACTACCACACACACTAAGTGCCTTTAACCACCAAGCTAAGGTTTCCCGTCACTAGTCACTCCCAAGTACTCCTTTAATCAGAGATCCTTGATGCCACTGAAAGCTCCTGCCAACTTCTGCCCCTGAAGACTGGGTTCTGAGGGCTGGATCCCCACCAGTGTATGAACAAAAGCCCAAGAAAATCCTGCCAGAAAGCAGTTCTCCAGAGTTTGGGTTTGTTTTAGTGCAACACAGGAAATCATGCTCCTCACTTCCCTCTCACCTCCTAAACTCCAGCTATATTTTCTCTCTCTGGTAAGTGAACTGCCTTTCGATTTCATAAAATAATGGACACACCCCAAATTGGGCATTTGTTTAGTTTCATCCTTCACACTTTTCTAAATTTTTAAAGGTTCTACAGAGAGAATGCTCCTCTGTAAAAAGACCTGCATTTAAAAACCCTGTGATGGGTTTCCTCAGTTATTACTTCCTGTGAAAATTGCAGGTGGCTGGATCAAAAGTCTATATAAACATTATCCAAAAAAACTCCAAAATTCTCCTGAAATACAAATCAGTGCCAGTTAGACCCAAGACACATCCCCACTCTGGATGTGTTGGCTGTAGGGAGTTCTTGAACTACTTGCAATTGTTAGCACTGTAGTGTCTTTTAGTCTGGAGAAATTCTTGTGTGTGTATGTGCGCGCGCGCGCGCACGCACGCAACAAAGAAGTACACCTATATTGCTTTGAAGAGTGAATACCTTTCTTTCTACGTGGCCCTGACCCCAAAAGACTATTAAGGGCCTTACAAACCTCTAGTCCCTGGCTTCCAAGAATCCTTGCCTTACGAAGAGGAATCAGAATCAGAGAAAAAGAAGAGTTATACTTAAAATTGCAGCGACCCAAACCTGATCAACCCCTCCGCCTCCAACAATGACCCAATTCCCACCCAGAGCCAAAAGGGCAGCTTTAAGTTAATCCCCAGACCATACTTAGCCGCCGGCAAAAAGACCACGTTTTGACGCCTTAGGGCACTCGGTTTTCACAATGCGTTTTATTCATAAAAAAATAAATTTATTTACATTTGCTAATTACTGTTGTTGTGCAGCCTGGGGCAGCAGCGCGTTCCGCCGGAACAGGGTCACTAGTACCGAACAGCCTCCGCGCCCCACCCGGCCCGGAGGAAGAACGGGGGCGCCGGGAGTTGGAGTTGGAGGCGGGGGCCACCCGAGGGGGAGGCCGGGTGGGGACAGTCGGGGGAGGAGGCCTGCAAGTAGGTGTGGGCGGAGGGAGCAGAGGGAGGTGCCGAAGCAGACTTGAGCCAGGTCGGTGGGGAGAGGCGGATGGGAGGCTCAAGCCTTAGAAGGGGAGGGGGCACACCTAAGCCTGGTTAAGGGGAGATGCTCGCCTCGAGGGACGGAGGGGCGTCACTAACCCCTCGGAAGCGCGACCGTAGGGAGCGCTCCGGGCAGACCCGACCAGGTGGGTCTCTGCGAGCGCGCTTCCACCTCTCCCCGAACCGGCAGGACATCGTGCGTCGGGCCCGGCCCTGTGGGATTGAATTCTGGCCCAGGTGTGCCGCGCTCCTCTCTGTAACTTAAAAACACATCCTGATGTAGGTCTGGCGTGAGACCTCTTTGAAGCCGGTTGTCCAGAGCGCGATCTGACCATGGTCTAACCGTGAGAGGCCTGGACAGTACAGGCCATCACACGGTAGATCTGGCTCAGTGTGGAAACTAACCCCTAGGCGGCTGCGCGCTGGGCTCAGACTGCGCCGCGGGGGTATTCTATACAGCTAAAGCCCGAGGCCTGATCTGGGTCAGCGTGTAGTGTCGTCGCCCAGACCCGCGGCAGCAGAGCCGTCTGCGCCCGGCGATGCCAGGCGCACTGCCGACACCCGGGCTTTACCCACCCACCCCCCGCCCCCTAACACCCGCCACCTGTCGAGTTCATGGTCCCGGGCTGGGGGAGTCTAGGAGAATCCAATGGAACGTTCTTCCCATTCTCAGGGCTTCTCACGCTGTCTCCCTAGTCCCCAAACCCGTGTGCTCAACCAATAATCCCAAGAGAGTTCGAGTTCGCTCTAAGCGGTGGTCCCACATAATCTGTTGGCCGCGGAGACTTCTTTGGTGTCAGAGTCTGGTCGTCCCGAGACCACAAATGGCCACGTCTGTAAAACCAGAAAGAGCATCAGATACCGAAGAAACGATCGTTTCAAAACGAAACTGCTCTCCAGACGGAACCCCGGGATACCCCTGGCTTTGCATAGCTCCGATTTTGTCAGTATTCTGGGAATTTTTCGCGTCTTCTCTCTAAACCAAGATTTTAATTTTACTGGATTTTGATCACGTAAGACGGGAGTTTTCCGTTCAAGCTGTCCTCATGGTGACTCCGCGAAATTTGCATGAATTTGGGATTTTGTGGCTTAGTTCCCTTCCCCCAAACACACACACACACCCATCAGCCATTCGCTCCAAGAAGGAACTGGGATATGATCTTTCTCAAGCCCGGAGAGTTGGCAGGTCGGAAAGGGACTTTCCAGACAAATCCCGTTTGGGGAAACCTCTGCTATTCAAGAATTGAAAAAACCCAAAGGCTTTTAGAAAGGTCTCGGTCTTCCCTCCCTCCTTTCAGAAAGTAGGGCTGGTTGATTTAAACCTGTCAGACTCTTATCTGCAAAAAGGAAGGGAGATTTTTCTTCCTATCTGCAAAGGGACAGCGGACTCCAATGGAACCTAGATTTACCCCGGAAGCAGGATATTAGCCATAGTGATAGTATCACCCGGCAAAAGCGTCACGTACAATGATCAGACTGATGCAAACACAGAAGGGTGGATGGTCCTCTTCTAGGAAAACGACTGGCTCCTCCCGTGATTTGGGAGAAACCAAACTGGCCTCCTCACCACCCCTACCAGACCTCCCCCCGCCCCACTTCGGGTTCTTCCCAGCGGCCAGACTCTGCCGAGCGCCGGGAAGCGCGCAGGGCATCACTCGACCGCCCCGACCCGGGCCTCGCGCGCGGCTCCCCTACCAGGTTCACCGGGTGCACGTAGCCGTTCTCGTAGCGGTCCTCCTGTAGCAGCTGCCGCAGGTGCGCGATGTAACTGGAAGCCAGCCGGAGCGTGTCCAGCTTGGAAAGCTTGGTGTCGGGGGGCACCCAGGGCAGGCTGGTCTTGAGTCTGGAGAAGGCTTTGCTCAGCACGCGCATCCGGGCGCGCTCTCGGGCGTTGGCCGCGTTCCTCTGTGACTGCTTGCACTCGGCCGCAGAACCCTTGGGCGGGAGGGGCTTCTTGCCGCCGCCGCCCCCAGCCACCCGGGGCCGCTTCCTCTTGCAGCCTCCCGCGCCGCCCGCCGCTCCCAGCGCACAGCGCTCCTCCTCGCCGTCGGGGTCATCCTCCTCCGCAGAAGAGTTGTCGCTGGGCGACCCGTAGCTGCGCTCGGCGCCGCGGAGGCACGGCCTCTTGGAGACGGGAACCGGGTACCCTCGCTGCAGTCCCCGCAGCTCCATCTCCTCGGGGTCGCTCACCGAGCCGGTGGACATCGTTGCGTCCCCCGCGCCCCAGCTTTCCTCCCCCAGGCCAGTCTCGCGGCCTCCGCCTTCCGCTCCCTCGCGGAGGCGGGGGCCAGGCTGAACTCCGCAGGAGACGAGAGACCAGAGTCGGGAACCGCGGAGCCCCGAGACTGATCCGGGAGAGCGTGGCCAAGAAGTCGGCGCCTGGGCCCAGGCTCGGCGCTCACTACCGCGCGCAGCGCCTTTTGACCGGACTATTTATTCTGTACTCCTCGGAACAAACCACCCCGGGTAAAGAAGAGGGGGTGGGAAAGGGGGGCAAGAGGTGGGGCGGGGGCGTGGAAGGGGTGGGGACCGCTTTTCAGAGTGCCGAGAATCTGCCGGTGGGGGCGGGGAAGGGGAAGTCTCTTGAACTGGGATCTGGACCCCTGGGCCCGAGGGACCCATCACTGCGAGATGAGTGCTCGTGGGGTGAGTGAAGGAGGGTAACTTGTTCGTACCCAGGTACCCACTTCCACCCCCGACTGATCTTAACGGAGGCGAAGATTGGCGGACACTTGGAAACCCCAGGATCGCGACCTCTGCGTCCTTCCCATCTTTTCAGCCGAAATGTATTTTCCAGGTTCATCACTCATAATGTATGACTGCCTATTCAAGCCCGGCCCGACAAAAGCGTAAAAGCTAAACAAGCAACAGCGAACAATGGGCGAATTACCTCTCATTTTCCTCCCCTCTTTTCCTTTAACGTCGCCGTTTGATTTACAAAGCACTTTCATCTACAGGGGTTCGTTTCATTTTCCAACATCTGTGACTTAAATGTTATTATCTCCACTTTGCAGAACTTGAAGCTAAGCCGCAGAGATGGATGTTAAGTAAAGGACCCCATATCGACAGGCTGGTAAGCAGAATATGGACTCAAACTCCGTGTGTAGAATCCCAGGCCCGTCGGTATTTCAGTCGCGCAGCACAGGATGCTCTCTGTCTGCTGTTTTCTGCTGTCTGGGTAGTTCCACGCATTAATTCTGTTTTCAACACCAGAGTGCGGTAAGATAGAGGGTCCTGCCCCAGCGCTCTGAGCTACAGTCTAGGGAATCGATGACTATTTTCGATGGTGTGTTGAAGAGCACGCTCCTGGATTCAGCATGCAAAGTCAGCACAACCATCCAAAGTAAAACAAAACAAACAAGAAACCACGATAAAACAGCACCTAGAAGTATGCCTCTCAAAGGAGACAAAGCGTAACTGCGCTCTCCTTGTTTCCTAACTGGAAGAGCCTTGGCAATACGTGGTCTGGGGATGGCTGCTTCATTTTGGGAGTGGACATCAATGGCCAGCTGTTGAATGCCTGCTGTGTGCCAGGCACTGGATTAGGCGTCCGGTGCCCGCCCCCCCCCCCGAGTAATTAAAACTAAAACAACAGCAAAATAATTATAATTCTGTGAGTGGCTTTGGGTTGGCTACGCCCTTCTGCACTGAGAAACAGTCTTCACACCCGAATTAGATGTTTACCTGTCGTTTCCCTCCAGGCCTACAGCCAAGCTGAGAGAAGATGAAGGAGACAGATGGGCAGTCGACCCGGGACGGTGCGGGCAGAAGCCGCAGGCCAGCCTCGCCCTGCCGACTCCTCCAGCAGAACAAATGCGCCGGGCTTGGTGCCTGAAGTGCCGCAACAGGTGGCTGGCCAGGGCTGACTTCATCACTCAGGCATCATCGTTCCACCTTCGTCTCCCAGGCCAGGCCTCCCTGTGGGGATGTTTTGCCAAACCCCTCCCGCTCGCCCCCGTTTGCAGAGGTTTTCTCCCGATGTATTTTGCCATTCTGGGGAGGGGGTGGTGGTGGCGGTGGGTGGGGGGCGAGAGCTGGGGGACGGTCTCCTCTGAGGTCAGTTGAGTAAAACGCTCGATCTCAGTTCTCTGTGCTGGGAAAGCTCAGGGAGTACTTGACAGAGCTTGAAATCTTTCCTGGACCGCTGCTTGCACTTGAACTTGACTCTAGGTGCCGGGAGGAGGAGGGAAGGGAGGGGCGGTTGGGGAGAGGAGAGAGAAGGGAGGGTGGCAGGGGAAGGGGAGCAGAAAGATGGAAAGGGAAGATCTGGGCAGCTTTTTGCATCGCCTATTGATGACCTGAAGCTATCAGTATAAATACAGAGCCTCATACATTAGAGGCAGGCATATAGGTTTTAAAAATCGGGATTGTTTATACAGGTGCAGAACAAAGTCTTTCTCTGGAAAAGATTAATGGCAGGGAGACCGCTAGATTTTCTCTAAACAGTCACAAAAACTGTACCCAGCCTCAACGCCAAGTGGGTCATGGCCAGTTTCTTTTTCCTGAAGGAACTGCCTGACCCCAACGATTCATGTTTTGTTTTGTTTTTCTTTTCTCTTTAAATTAGCTCTTTCCTTCTTCCTGGTTTTTTCTTTCCCCTTCCTTCCTACTTTCTTTTCTTCCTTCCTTCTCAGCCTTCTTTTTCCTTCCTCCCTCTGATCTCTCTCAAGAAATATAGCCATTTCCTCTATTTTCCCTATTTTGTTTTCATCTTCCCTTTCCCTCCATTTCTTTCTAATTATATTTTTATTATTTCACTCTTTTTTTCAAGTTGCAGACTCCTAATGAAGTTTAAGAGATGTATCTTCATATACATTGCATGTTAGTATATAACTGCAGTTTGCTTTAACAGGTTTGTAATGACATCTGATATTACACTTTCAAAATGCTTTTACTTTTCCTTCTGTCTCAATGATTAGAAAAACCCCATGAGCTGAACAGTGCTAATATATCTCTTTTGAAAAACCAATTGTTTTGGCAAGTCCCCATACACTGAAAATAAAAAATGAAAACTTTACTTTTATATTTTAAAAACAAGCACACTGAAAACAATTCCTATTTGCTCACGGTAATAACCTTTGAGATTTGTAACGCAAATATACAGGTTTCTATGGTATATATTGATGATTTTGAAATTCTTTTAAGATGTTCTTTTTAAGTATGCAGTGGGAGGTGGGTTAAAGTTACGTTATCAAACAAACATTAAATACATTTAATAATGGTTAAGACATTAATAATCCCAGCTCTCCTGCTTATTAACTGTATGACCTTTGGCAGTTTTTTTTTGAGGCCCAGATTACTGATATGTAATATGAAATATCTATCTTGTTGTAAGAAAGTGGGAGTCTGTGAGTAATTGCCTGGGCCACAGCCTGATGCATGAGGAAAAAAAAATCAATAAATGCTAGTTATTTTTATTACTATGAATTGTGTGATGCCCAACATCACACATCTAATAAGTGTCAGTGTCCAGAACTGACCCAGGGTTTGTAAGCAAGGGCTTGTTCTGGGTTTCAGGCAGCACCAGAGGTTTCTTCTCTTTAACTGCAGGCTTCTGTGGTTCAAGTGCATGGTCCTATTACCTGACATTTCCCCTAGGCCTCAGAAAAGACCTCACTGAGGGAAACTGATGGGACTACATTAGAAACTTTCTTTCCCCAAGTTTTCTCCCCATAAAGCCACAACAATTCTCCCAGCCTCCCTTCCCCTATTTGAAAACTGCTAAATAAATAAATATAAATAAAACTCCTAAATCAGTTACTGAAAGGGTTAAATGAAATTGTGGAGGAACAGCACAGTGTAACACACTAAAGGTGCTTAATTTGCTGAAATATAAAAAATGCAGACTTTGGTTTTCTAAAAAAAGAGAATGAGGTCACAAACCACAGAAAAGGCCATTTAATGCCACACACCCACCCCTTCCACCCCCTGAGTACATACCAAGCCCATTTAATGCCACATCACTCCAAAGTAAGTGCTGGGGGAAGAAGTTTGAGGCTGGGCAGATCAAATGGTTTAGAGTTTAGGGAGAGTAGGGACTGTGCTATACTCTTGAACACCAAGTCAAAGCATGTACAAAGTAGGTGCTTAAGAAATGGTTGTTGTGGGAATGCATTTCCCATATGACTTTCCTGGTGGCGTCTCCCCAGATTTTCCTGATGTTCTGGGTTGTCCAGTTGGATGAACAAATTGCCTGTTCCTTTGATCTAGCAAAACAAGAGTCTAGACCAGCATTGGCTAAATATTACTGATCTTACCAGCCACATGAGGCTACTGAGCACTTGGAATGTGGCTAGTCATGTCCAGTATTGTAAAATACACGCCAGATATTGAAGACAATGTGAAGAAAAGATGTAAAATATCTAATATTTGAAAAATATATGTCAAACAATGAGAATGTTTTGATAAATTGGGTTAAAGGAAGTATATCATTAAAAAATAATTTTCCATGACTTTATATTTTTATAATGTGGCTACTCGACATTGGGAATTACAGATGTGGCTCGCATTATATTTCTGTTGGATAATTCGGGGATTAACGATGCAATTGTGCATTGAGTGTCTAGTGTTTGCTGTGGCAGGTGTTGGTGAGCCCGACTCCCGCCCACTCGGAAGGCACATTCTCGTGGGAAAAAGCACCGAAATGCGGGAAGCACACATTAAGCACGTCTGCTCTCACTAATTCCTGTCATCTTGCCTGCACTGCTCCACGTGTACCCTACCCCCATCTAATAGGTCCAACCCCAGAACACGGGGAGAAACGCTTCCGGTGCGTTTGCATTTCCGCAGAGCTTCTCACGGGGACAAGTTACATGGAGGTGTACGTTTCCCAGGTAGTTTGGGCCACCCCACAGACAGTGGATGCCAGGGCTCTGGATGCCCAGTTCCTCCGTCTTTTCAAAACATCCCTGGATACAAAGCACGACCTCCACGCATGGGAGGTTCCGGGTCTGGCGCTGTGCGAGTCACGTGGAGCACGGGTCATGTGGTATACGGTTACAGGGTGGGGGCGGGACAGTCACGTGGGGAGCATAGTGTTGCCATGTTTCTTTGTCTCGCGAAGCCGGGGAGCTGATTGGGTGCATCTGGGGTGTCCCCACGGTCCCTGACCTGGATGGAAAGGAACTCTCATCACTTTGACCCTGGCGGCCACGTGGTCAGGTGCCTGTGGGAACTGTGGGGCCTGAGAGAGAAGTCTTCTGTTG